AATAATAATAATAATAATAATAATAATAATGAATATTTGTGACATTATATGTAAATTAAATTCTATTCTAACTAGTATATTCGGACATTATCCAATTCATGTCGATACAGAAATAGTACTACAATATGGGTAACAGTGGTCGCTTTTTAACAAGACCTTCATTCCAGAATAACATAATCGACAACAATATTTCATAGGAACGCTCAAGAGGACAGAACTCAACCTGTTCTCGGTAATTGTCACGTGCCGAGGAAACGAGCTCGTATTTTACTTTCCTAGCGATGTGTGTCGGCTTCTTTGTTTTTGTCTAAACAGTTTCAATATTTGGTCGACCACTCCTTTGTACCCATGGGAACGTAAATAAACACATGGACATTGAGACTCTTGTGATTCTTGTCTGTGCTAATAGTAGAGCAGGGCGCTACTCCGGAAATCACGTGATCTACTCAGTTTTTGTGACGTCGTGCATAATAAAGTATGTGCTCACACCGTAGCAATGTAACCGCACTACATATAGTTGACCAGCCGAACTCCAGTGTAGTCGTGTATTTTATCTCGTACTTCACCTAACACGTGACTCGTAGTATTTACATCACATTAACCCTCTCTCGGAGTATACGAACATCTAGGGGACAAAATCATGAGTTCCAAACTCCCGGTAAGGTTGACCATTAACTGTTATGCCAATGCTAATCTTGATACAAGTGGGGACGTAATCCGATTCTCAGTTCAGTCGTATGCATAGCATGTTGCGATTGCGAGTCTAGCGGGTGATCAACTAACCATGGTTATCCTACTTCTCGGGGTTCTGCTTCGTCACAAGCAATGCATGCGATAAATACACGAATGACTGGACAGTACAGTCGACATTCAGTGTGTAAACAAGTACTCGCTACCGTCTTTCGTAAATTTTCTTCTTAAAACCACTTTTCCTGCTCGTTATCTGACCGTAGGGTCGTTTCTAGGGCTCTCCTTAGCGTGTGTGTTTTATAATGGGAAATCCCCGAGTGCGATAGTGAGGTAACTTCCGTATCAGATATTGGTATAAAAGCATTGTCGCGATTAGCTATCTGTGTACCCAACGCTCGTCACGACAACATCGGAGATTTTGAAACACTTGGTGTGGCGTGTTGCCATCAACGCAAGGTACGGTCAGTGCTGTAGTCCAGAGAATGCAAACATTATCATACGAAGATTAAATGTTAGGAAATAATTAAAATACATGTTTCTCTTTGTCAATCCACAGATGCCGCTCAAGCAACTAAAAAGAAGATCGAGACAACGAGATGCTCTGATCTTACAGGTGGGTGTCCACATCGTCCCCTTATGACAGACGTTGAATTCCTTTACTCCAGTTCCGAATGTTTGTTTTCCGACTTTCAAGCGAAACACAGTTTTTTTGTAACGTATTTTGAATTTTTCCTTTGCATTTCAGGATTCATTCGATAGTTTTTACGTGTCGCTCTTACAAAGCATACTACAACCAATCGGGAAAAGTGAGACGACCGACGTTGTAAGCAAAGAAGACATGATAAGTCACGCTCAAGCGGTACGAGTTTAATTTCAGTGTATGTTTACTCCCGGTTCTCGCACACTTGCTCATACTACACACGATCGTTGCTAACCAGGGGTATACTTAAACTTTTAGCTTCTAGTGCGAGACCTAAAACATCAAAGTTCCACAGATCTGAAAATGGTTTTCTATCAGCGTACTGTGGTTTTCAAACAAAAGCGACCACCACACGCATATAAAAAGTGGTTGCATTTTAAGGCGTGGAAAAATTCGTTTTCCATATTACGAAAAAGAGAAAGGTGGGGTACAACAAGTTGTGATCTCTGCTACTGATAACATGCTACTTCTGATCTTCCAATCTCTGTTACCATAGCAACAGTGTGATTTCGTCAGTCTTGTTTCAGTACCTGATGTCATTTGACCTACTGTGCACCCAAGAGTTGCTTCAATCAAACAATAAAATCTACAGAGTCACTACATTTAAAAAAAAATCGTTGTATTCATGTATTTTAAAAATCGGCAACTTGAGCTAAATAACATTTGTTCACGCCGTTACGGTTGGTTGACGTTAACGATGCGTCGGAACTGAAAGTGATAGTCATAACTCCCGCTACTGCATTCAGTACCGTCGCATGTGTAGTGTAAAAGTAAAAAGTTATATCCGTCTGTAGACCATGAAGTCGAAAAGGAAAGTACAAGTTCATGAACACAAATCAACCACAACCAAATGTATTCACGTGACCTTTTTTTTAGTCGTCTTGGGGTTAGTACGTTAATAATAATACGGAGTTTATTACAGAATGCGTTTGGTATGACATGGCATGCCATTTATTCTGTAAGGGCTTTGATATAATAAGGCGACGGCGAATTCGTATCCTGCCAGTTCTTTATCAGCGCATTCCAAACTTCTAAACACTTTTGTCCCCACGCAACCTTTTTTTTTTATTTATTTATTTTATCAATTTTGACCAAGTCCTGTAGGTGTCACATTATTTTCACTACTTTGTTAAAAACTGAGAAGGAAATTGTATAGAAGCAAATACTACACAAAAATGTGAAAAATGTTGTACCGATAATTTGCGGTGAAAAATGCTGGTGTTAAAAGGGTTAGCAAATGTGTGTGTCTGCGATAACCGCAACGCACCAAGCGACCCTTCGTTCACATTGTTTGTCGACTGAAGCGACAGCATAATGAGCCTTTGTGGTTTTACAATTAACCGAATTCTCACAGACAGTCCGCCACAAATATGTCACCTTTCAGGTGGTTACTGACCCGTTATGATGAGTGATGGCAGTAGTTACTTTTCAGTACCATATTCGAAATATGGAAAACTCGAACACTTATTATTACTGAAGGGGAATGTTGCGGGAGTATTTTACAAAATCGACAATTTAATTAAGAATGTGTGAATTTTTTAAAATATTTTTCATGTGTTTTATTTTTTTATATTTATAGGTGTTCAAGATCGACATTGCTACACACGAAAAGTGTCTTGGAGAAGCGATGCTCAGAAAGGTACTTCAGCAAATTCAATTTCCAATTTTACGTCTCAAATACAAAATACTATATAACACTTTACCGCGTGACTTTCTAAGAAGCGGCGTTCTACGTATTCAGTGCGACTTCCTGTTATACTCAAGTGTTGACGGGTACAAGCAAACTCGATGATGTAGTTTTTTATCCTTTTCTAAAAATGGGAAGGAGGGGCAGTAAACAGACCGATACACACGTGTTCATGACAGTTATACCTGCAATCTCACATTACTTTTGCACTTTTCACCTCCACGCGTTTTCTTTTTCACGCAGCCAAAGCAAACAATACTCAAAATCAACGTTGTGGAGGCGAAAGGAATCAAGGCCATGGACCCAAACGGTAAGTATTCGTCGCTGTGTTTGTTTATTGTGTGTGTGTGTGTGTGTGGGTTTGTTTGTTTGTTTGTTTGTTTTTTCGCCGCGCAGTCAATTGCGTAGTCACGTGAATCAGGTGATCATGTGATCAATGGAAATTTAAATTATACAAAATGCTTCCTGTGGTGAGATAGAATTTTTTAGTTTGTGTCGGTTATGATGCTTAAGAGGAAACAACTTTTTTTATAAACCTGTAACATACGACGATTTTTTTTAAGGTCGCAGCGATCCGTACTGCATCATCAGTTTAGTACGGCCGTCACACAGTCCAAAGGCAAGCCCGAAAAACAGCCCGAAACTCATCAATAAACACAAGGAAAGAAGGCAGTCTTCCATCGTAAACAGCGATGTTATGAGAACAAAAGTCAAGTATGCCACCTTAGAACCAAAATGGCACGAGGAGTTTGAATTGTAAGTACACTAAGGAGTGGAAGTATAAAAGAATGGGGAAACAGTATTGACAGACAAGCGTCTGACGAATGAAGAACCGTAAATTCTAGCTAGACTTGCACCACCAGCCCGACAGAATATTTTTTACCTCCGCAATACGGTTCAAGATTCGTAATTTTGCTAGTACTCGAATGTTCGCCCCCTCCCATCTGTTGCACCATGAGTGGAAATTCGCTGTATACTGAGATTGTTCGTACGAATGGTCATTTATAATCAATATTGATTACAGCGCGTTGCCACGCAGTTTCTAAGACGTGATAAAAATATTGACTCGCGCTAACAAAATAGTATTGCAATTGGTGTTGAAACACTAATGAAATCAGCCATGTACTTTAATTAATCAGGGAATTAATCAGAGGCGGATGCAGGATTTTTTTATGGGGGGTCCAAACTTTAAAATCGCCAGACTAAGTTAATGATATGTTTTATATTATACAAAAAAACAATTGAATAAATTTTTCAACGGACCCCTAGAACCCCCTAGATCTGCCACTGTTAATATATTACATCGGTTACCCTTCGCTGCGACAGCGTCGAAACCATCTTACACGTACCATTGCTTTTAGTAAAAAATGTCCTTTCTTTTAGCCCTAATATACAACGATACCCCGCACCCATCCTTGAACCATCTACGTCACATTCATCGATAACTCAGCTGCATGATCAAAACCAACCAAACGTCTAAGAGTCACTGAACACTCAATACATCCAAGAAATAACAAAAGTCCGCTGGGAAGAACAGGGGTATACATCTTAACTCTTAAACATTGCTTCGACTCGAATAAATACTAGCATGGCAACCGATAATTACACACACAGCACAGCGTGTACTTTTGACAAACATGCAACATGTCGGAACTCTTAGAACTCTCCTTGTTTTCCCCACTTATATAGTCACACAGCGGATCTGGCAAAGGAAGAACTAAATCTCTACATGTGGGACCACGATGTAGAAGATTCCGTGTGGGATGGAGTCAAGCATCTGGATAACGACCACAAACTTGCAGGACTACGAAAGTGAGTATTTCTACACGTTATATAATTGTAGTACAATCTGAGAAAGAAAAAAAAAACATCTCAATACATTGGCCTAAATGCATCTATAATCTAGTTTTCATCGCTTGATTTTTGCTGGAATTATGACATACACGGCTTGGAATGCGCAATTGCCCATCACGTGTTGTTAGCATAATAACAAGTGGGCATAGTTCACATTCAGAGATCATTTGACCACATTTTATAGTTATCGGTAGATATGGTCAATACCGGGGTAACCACAGTAATTAGGTCATAGCCCACTCCTGACACCATACTCTCTGATCAGATATTACGCATTCCAACTACTGTACAAGTACGTACAACCAAACATCGCTTAATGGTTGTTGTTGTTGTTGTTGTTGTTGTTGTTGTTGTTGTTGTTGTTTAGATCTTGGCACAATTAAACGAAACTAATCGTATACTTGTATTTGCAGTATATTCCGACAGATTCGCCAGACGGTGGAGTATGGGAAACCCATCGATGATTTTCTGGGTAAAATCCAGCTCCCGCTGAGAGAAGTTCCAAGTTTAGGGCTTGACAAGTGGTTTAAGTTACAGAAACAGTCGAGAAGTATTATACCTGTAACAGGTCAAATCAGACTGAGAATGCAACTAGCCGTTAAAGAAGTGAGTAATGTCACATGATGAAGATCCACAAAGTTTGAAGCTGGCATGATATTTCTTATGTGCTCATTCCCTCGAAAATGTAAAATGTTGTTATATATGGCTTACTATTTTTCTATTTATTGCGTGTTTATGTTCTCGTCAGTTGAATGACCGG